CCCCCCCCCCCAAGAGTACTTAATGTCAGTTTGATCAGACACGTCTCAGATATTGCTGAAATGTTTGACGAATTATCAGTTACTCTGCCAACTCTTGCAAGGTTATCTATCATTAGTTAAATAACCCCCCAATTCTGTATATGAAAGAAACAAAATGGCAGTCAGTCGGTATATGCAAAAAAAATGAACATTCACCAAGACGTACAACCTTCATACAAAGTTTAAAACAAATCGGCAGACATTCGGCCTACTTTGATAGGATAACAGAATCAATGTACCAGGTATAAGGGGGTACCAGTTAAGTCATATTATGGAATATTAGTAAGGAATGACAAATCTTACCTCCCAATATAATTTCTTAGGTTTGCCCTCTGCGTATGCCTTAGCAAAATGACTTTGACTACTAAGTGTTGTAAGTGCTGCACTTAACTGTGCCATTGGATGCACAGTGGAAGGAAAGTTATTCAGCATAGTAACAACATGTGAGGGCAAATCAGCTCTTTTTGCCCATTCTCTAGAAATAGCTTTGACCTGCAAAAACAATTTAATGCATGTTTAGAACATCATACCAACCATTTATCGACTTGAGGTAATGAGTTACTTGAGGTAATGAGTTACCCAGTCATTGAGGTGGTATGTGAAAATTCATTCCTGATGAATATGCATAAATGTTTTGAAATAGGGATATTCAACCAAATATCAATTGTCAATTTTTATGCATTGCTAACTTAGTCATTCTATGTTTTACTCATTCAGGAAAATTTGCCAACTATGGAAAATTCATAACACAATCTCCTCAAACAGAAACAATCATGAAAATTTGAAAATTCAGAAAATTGGGAATAAGAATATGCTGTACAACATTTGCTGTTCTACATAATACACTACCTGATCATCAGTAGGCACTTCACCGGTCACTAGCAGCCAGAACAAACCTTCCGGTAATGGTTCCTCACCACGAGCTACTTTTGGCAATGCCAGTTGACAATCTGGGATGCTGTGTCCACGGAAACGAATACCTTCATCTGGATCCAGTACAGACGTCTCGCAGATAAGGCCTTTAATACCACGCATACCACCATACATCTGAAAATCAAAATGATTGCAGTACAGCAGATTATTCATTTATTTAAGTTACTAACCACAATCCATCCCAATAGCAGTAAAGTTATGAAGATGATGCAACATTTTAGTTTATTATTTTTTTTGAAACTTTATAATTATACCATACTCGTTCGACTTAGTGCCCATGCTTAGCACCCACCCTAGGCAAATTCAACAAGGTATACCATTAAACAAATTTGATACATTCTATGAAGTAAAGGCAGGGTATTAGCCAAAAACTTTCTCCCCTTAAAAACAATTAAAAATGTACTTACCATATCAATGGTGACTTCTCCCACAACTTTGTTGCCATGTTTTTGACGAAATTCTCGTACATCCTCAGACTGTTTTAGAATTAAGGAACGTAATTCATCTTTGAGATCCTAGTGATAAAATGTTTATGAACACTGGGGTGAGTTTACATTATTGCAATATTTCCAGATTGACTGTGTGCAGAGGGGTTAAAAAAAACAGTAGTCCAAGCTTGCTGAACCAATCTAATTTTACCACAGACTCGTGAAAGACAATGTTTTTTACTCGTCTTAGATTAGTGCATTCTGGCTGTTAACCCCTGAGCCATAGTAATTTGTATACAGTGTACATACCGGTCGCTATAAGCCAAGGTTAACACACCTAACTGCATAGCCTGACATGGTTGGTGATCATTATTGTGTCCTTGCTGATGGATTAGATGCAAACTGATGTCAGTCATAATGACAATACCAGTCATTTTCGACAAGTGCACATTGTTATTTTTTAAAGAACATTCATTTCGGTAGCCATAACTCGTTCAATCAAGGATTGCACACTTCAAATGCAATCAAGATAGAGTTCAAAACTGACTGCAACAGTAATGTCAATGTGCATCCAAAGTTATTTTTTGTTGACTATAACAGCAAATTTACTTGCGTGAAGTATTCAATATCACCTCTAGGGAAGCGAACACCACCTGACATTGGCCAAGTATCATTTGCTAGATGACACATTGATCAGTCTGTGTCAAGCCGATAAAAAATGCAGAAATCATCGAAATAATAGAATAGTCAATGTTTCCACAAATACCTGTAGCCCCACCACCCACAATTGTGAATGATAGACTTTCCAAACATAGTCTGCAAAGTAAGTGTATTGTGCAACAGTTCAGAATGCACAAGTGGGTATGCTTTGTGATTGCCAGAGTTGTGTTTTGAGTTGAAACTACTGTATCCTACCGTGCACTAAAATTTGTAATTGTGATTTGGTCTATGAGTAGCTATGATGGCTGTCATAATCAACACAAATCTAATTGATGCTGACAAGATGTCAGTGATAATGAAAAACTGTACTGTTGCAGCCGTAATTTGTGTCAAAGTATATGCATCAGTGAGGGCGCAAGAATTATCACTGACTATGTCAGGCTAACTGGATTGATAAACAAAGGTTCATCTTATGCAGCAAATGTGAACTTTCATGATGCATTGTTTGGCTATATGATTTCCTTGTACCCAAGAGACTGGTGATTTACAGTAGACCACATGAAAAGCCTTCTTTGGCACCTATGGCAGAACAAATTCCTTTGGACAAAACACGCAGGCATTTAGCAGCAAATAAAATACAACTATGGCCACTGATGCCAGTACAGTATAGTCAGCTTGGTTACTGCACACATTTTCTGAAGAGTACCATATCTCATGCAGATTATGAATCTATATTCTGAATGATTTTGAAATCTGCTGTATTCTACAGTTGCAAAGTTACAGCATTGATGCTTTCTCACATAGGTTCAACACTTTTGCATGCACATGCAATGAACACAAAACGATACAATTTTCACATTTGCCACAAAGTCAGAGTCATGTAACAAATGCATGCGTCTATAAACTGTACATGATTGGGTAATAGAACTGTAATAGAAACTAATCTGACCACTGTGATAGACCTCATTTGCAAATGGCAACCGAGATATCATTATAAGCAAGAAAGCCACGTGATTTGTTTTTGCTCCATAAATTTTGTTTTCTGTCATGTCAGCGACACAGTGGACACTGATTCTAGAGAATGGAACACTATTTTAGATTACAAACAAATCGCATGGTTTTCTAACTCAACAATCTTAACGTTCATTTTCAAATGAGGTCTATTCCTCCATCAGAATTTAACAAATGAAAAAAAAATATAGTATTCACTTTTCTAATTGAAAAACTTGAAAAAAAGCAGCACATTTGCTTATGGATATCAGCTATAGCAGCAACGTCGAACACCAATTACTGTAAAATCGGTATTAAAAACCGCAGCTTCTATTAAAATGGTACAATGCAGCAGAGGGAATGAGGCTTCTATTAGAGCATCTACACATATGAGAAATGGTGAATTTTTGGGTCTCAATTGTTCAAAAATGGGTGCGGCTTCTATTAGGGATGTGGCTTCTAATATAGATTTTACAGTAATGCTAATTACATAAAAATGTCCTACATACAATGTACATGAAGGATAGAGGGTCCATGTACCTATTCCCTTCCCTTGGAACAAAATTGGCGTTTAGTATATTTTGCAATCTTTACCTTTACATCTTTATTCAATCCAAATATTCAGATGTTTGCATGTTCTGTATCACGTAGGACAGGGATCTTTTGATGCAAACACCGAATTTAGTTTTTGACTAGTGATCTCAAGTTGTGCTCAGAAATTTACGCAAGTTGGACACGCTTGGTCAAAAATGTATGTATTTGTTCCCCATATAACTTATTTTCAGTACAATTTGCGTGGATGAGTTTGTATGGCTCTAATAATAAACTGAGAATCTTGGACTAAATATCGAAGTTACATCTCGATGGCAGTTGAATCTGTTTGTCTAAATAGGTACATAAACCCCTTTCAATACTTACAAAGCAGTTAGTATAATCAGATTACAGAAATATAACACCATGGTGAAATGGTGAAAACACCAGAATCTAACATCCAACTTCATAGGTACCGTAAAAACTATCAATTCACTGCCTTTTAATTCGCACACAGTTCATTTACCGGTAAATGTTTCGTGAGAATTTGCGGTGATATTATAAAAAATATTTGAAATTATATGCTTTTAAGCGCGCTCTATTCTGTTATGGTCAACATGACATGGCAATCATTTATAAACAAGAAAATTAAACAGATGGAACTTGACAGTCATTGATGCGTTTCACATTTGTCATTGTATCGCCACTCATTTCTCCACAGCCAGAGATAGCGACATCTCATACATGTGCAAGCGACGATTTCTGCAAAACACGATTTTTAATCTTTTTTGCACAGACCTAACTACAGGCATGTGGCAAGAAAAATGCTTCATAACAATGCAATGATCGTAACATTTCTACAGTAAACGCAGATAGAAAGCATTGAATGTTAATCGCGAGTTCATAGCCACTATATATAGTTGCTTTTAGAAGGATGCCATGAACGCATGAATTGATGCCATGAACGCGTGAATTCACAACTTTGATTGGATAATTTCATAATTTTTGTGATCTATGCTCTAAGTCTTTGCTTACCAGAAGCCTCAGTTGCATAATTTGGAATTCCTGATTGCACTAAATTATAATATAGAAAGGCTATAGTTTTCTGAAATCTGTGACTGACATAAATTGGAGTTAGTCATTCTCGTGTACTGTCGGTAAAAGCTCCATCACATCATTTATCACCTACCATATGAGCAAACGTGCATAAATTTATCGCTAAACCAGTGATTTATATGCTTTTATTTGGGAAATGAATTACTATTTATCGAATCAATCCAAAAGTATTAGTTTCATTCATTTGTATTCTTTGAATTCATTTTTACTACTGCGAATTAAATTTTTTACGGTACTAAAATGTTAGTATACAGACAGATATAATTGTGAAAGCAACCTACTGTTGCCAGACTTTCCTGGAGATATTCAAGTGACAATTCATATACATGAAGAAAGAGAACATACTTGTTACAACACTGAAAAACATACCTACATGTACTAGTCAAGTTACTGGTGTAGTGAAACCCATTACTTATTTGAGTGGTTCAGTGAGTATTTTTGAAACTACCAAGTGGAATCACATTACAAATTGGCAGATTGGTATCAAGGTGTTCAAATTTATTTTACAATAGTAAACAAATGTACAATTTCTGTAAAGTCTTTTTTGCAATAGGTGGCAGAAATATAGCAGAGCAGATGGTGAGTTTGGCCTGCTGTCAGCTAAAAATAAACACTATTGATGTACTGGATATAATTATACATTATAGGTCTTGCAGGTTCCCTAAGAACATTCACACGTCTTCAAAACATTTCATAATATTTTGCAGTCCAGTGCTTGTAATGATTTATTGTAGTATGCTGGATCATTCAACTTGTTTTGACAATATACACATCTCTGTCATTTACTTAAATACATGCACTCCAAATAAAGCAAGTATGGTATTGTTGGGCATCCTGCCTCTGAAGTTCAAGAAAGGTCAGCCAGAACATGGGCATCTTAACAACTGGACAAATGAGGCACAAATGTTATAATGTAGGTAGCAGCCACTCGACAAAATCAAAAGTTATTTGAAAGTTTAAAAGTGTGTTCACTTGCATGTCCTAACTGAGACTTAACGATATCAATTTATTAGAATCAAAGTGTACAATAAATTTTCTGGACATTGAATACACACTGTAGTGCATTAAATGAAAATACATTGCCATTCCGTGAGAATGTAAAACTGTGGCAATTATTAATTGATACAATTTACACAACGTAATATCTGCAAAACTACCACTTGGGTTTTAAACACCATGGTGATGCAATAACATTAAGCATTTTTTGGGGGGAAAAATATATATAATGGTTAGGATAAAAAATTGCAGAGATAATTAGAATTCATTATACAATCCATACTTACAGTATTATCAGCATGTACATGTCTGATAAATGAAGAAAGTACTGGTAATGATGCCTGTAAGAAATAAAAATATTATACTTAGATTGTAAAGTATGCAAGGTAACATTTATCATACCAAACGTTTTTTGAATCTAACTTGCCATTTTCCCTTCGCTACAAGATCTTGCGTAATGTGTGAAAGGCCAGATCATACGTCTGTTGAAAAGATTTGATTTTGAATTTCTCTTTTTACAGGTCAATGTCGAAATTCCTAAATATGGAGTTGAGATATCTTTATTTCAACGAAACTGTGTTTGTTGAATCCCATGCAATGTTTTGACGCCACTACAATGCTACTACCTTTGCTTGCCCTGTTTTACACTTGATGTCATGCACACTGAATCTCTCGTTCAACGGGAAAATTGTCTATTATATGCCTTGGTAACTAACAGGTTATGTAGTGGTTATTATATTGTATAAATACAAACATTCTCTGAATTTCTAACAAGGATAAAATATTACTAGCCATATAGGCTAATGCTACATTTCTTTTTTTTTTTTTTTACCAATTTCAAATTTGTTTTGCGAAAAATCATGACATTTGTCAATTTGTGTAAAAATTGAAATGTGGTAACGTAATATACACTTTAATAAGCATCCAAACATTTAAATTACATTTCTGTGAGTGAAGTGATTTTAAATTATGACTATTTTCACAGAATAATTCACAGTTTGAAATTACTCCATTAATGGCAAAATTGACAGTAGTTTTACCAAATATTACCGTACATGTAAATGGGGATCTATGCTCTTTCTGTCGTCTGTAGTAAATGTAGTTTTTTTTTCTTAAAAATAAATTATTCACTGAGTTTTAATTTTGCTTATTTCGCTGACTGGAAAATGCGCTAAATTAAAACCCAGTGAATATGTAAAATTTAGCATAGAACACATTATCTAAACGATAAAACCGTGAATTTAAAAACCACCGACTATGCCTGAAATGGTAAATCAGCGGAATTTAAACCCAGTGAAAATTAGTCATTTTACAGTAAATATCTCAAGATGAATTAGTAAAAATTACAATATGATGTACCGGGTATATAGGAAATGTTTGCTATTTATTGATTTTTGTTCTTTATTATCACATTTATTAACACTCAAAAGTCCAGAGAGCACCCTGGGGGTTAAACCAGGTTTCCTTAGATGCAAATGGACATCTCCATCTTGTCTGCTCACCATGTCTATTTTTGACAATTGACTTAAAAACCATCTCTGGCAGAATCATGTTATATTTTTTTCTGGCAAATACAATTATCTAAATCGTGACATACAGATATGCTGAAAAACACCCCCCAATTTTATGTGCATTTGTAATCCTGAAATGCAAGTACAGCAGCTGAGCATTCAATCATTAAGTACAGCTACACAATGTACAGATTTAAATCTGTTCAAAAGGGTTGCCATTGATTCTATTTCTGTGATGTTCAGGCAAAACCTTTATATTAATATATAGGTATATTGATCTAAAAAACATGTGTAGGCAACTCTGAATCAACCCAGAAATTGCTATATCGATCTAGAAGCATGGGCATTTAAAGCACTGGCAATACTGATCTATATTTATCAACAAATATTAGCAATTCTTCAAGATGCTCACTTCAGCAAAATAAAGTTACACCTACAATCAGCAGAATTGTGAGCAGAATTGCAAGCAGAATGAACATCTAATAATACAGTAGCCATAAAACACTAGAAATGATTAAAGTGCTAGCGCTGTGAAGTAGATATTGGTTTTGATTAAAAGACCAACCACTAAGAAATGGAAAAGTTTCCTAAGGGATTTGGCAGAAAAGTAGACTTTCCATTTGCCCTTTACACGTTACAAAGCATTTGAAATTTGCATCAGCAACACCCAGTTCTCTATGCCAAAACTAAGAAGATTACCCAGGAGTATAGGAATAGAGAATCATGACATGTCAGAATGTTATGCCAGTAATAACATTTGCTAACACCTTGATTTTCAGGGTCGAAAAATTCATTTGTCCATCTAAGTCAAGAAAGATCTCAACTGATTTAGATTTTTGTGAAATTTAGTCTAACGAATGCCCTCAAGTTGTGAAATATTTAAGCAGAAAAAAATAACACTTTACATTATGTGAGAATTGTAGCATAATCAGAGCATACACACAAACCTGTAGATGTATTCTAATATATTTCACTTGAAACGGGTACATATAATGGCAAGAACATCTATGATTTCAAGAATGTGAAAACTGGGTCAAAATAAAATGCCAAAAGCATCAATTCATAATGAATTTTAGAGATGTCAATAAAATCTACTGGAGATGTACATTTGTATTTGGATTAATGAATCAACTGATGGCTATTTGGCCTCAAATGGATTTTGAAAAAAAATAATACAGTGGATGTAAATTTAGAAATAGACTGCCATGATATATTTATAACGGTACAGACTTTATAATTGTGGCAGCCAGAACATTGTACCTTTACATACAATACAATACGTCAGTGCCGTAAATTCAACATTGTGCAGAGAATTTTCTTTCGGAATTCCTTTTGACAGCCTCATACTCAACGGCAAATGTATAGATTCACTAAGGCTATTGCAGTATCTGTATATGTCTTTGTTGCCCCACATGACTGCCTGACCACCATACATGTACATAATAAATATTTTCCTGTCTTATAAATAGTTCAAGGCAAATTTGGCTCTGAATTGGTGGGTAACATTTCCCTACTGCACACCCCTCAAAACAAAGCAACATGTACTGAGCAGACATCCTGACAATAATTCAGATCAAGCTTAGAATATCAATAGTCATAAAACTATCTAGGCATGAAAGCTCCAATGTTATGTCTATTATGTATGCATCTCAAAAAAAACATTAATGCTAATCATTGCACTATACTATACAAGTATGTCAATTAAATGAACTACGGTATGTATATTAATGAATTTGAATCAAATCAATTGATTGCAAACACTTGTAATACTAGACAAAATCAATATTCAAATCTTATCTTAGGCGACATTTTGAAGAATGAAGGTCTTTAATGTTCAGAATCCACGCAATTAATAACTAATACACTTGAGAAAGTAATTTATTTTACATTTGACAAGTGGCCAAGAAGATATACTGCAAAATCAATTGAATGATAGTGAAATTCCTAACAAAACAGAATTTTTAAATTCAAAACTTGACAAATGTAATTAAAACATTTATCGTTTAATTTAAAGGCATTTTTGCAGAATATCACAAATTATTCATGAAAACGTAGTAAGGTGGGTTTTTTTTCATTATTGCAATAGTAAAGCCTTGAATTCTAATCGTGAAGTTACATTGTGATTCAAAATTTCATCTCCAATACACACCATTACAATGAACAATATAGAAAAACGTTATTTTAAATACCGATATGAGATTTATTTATAGTTTATAGCCTGTCTGCCCATATTTTGCGCATTTTCATGTATTTTGCTATTATAAAAGGGTTTTATTTTTTTTGTAGGAATATTCACTTGATTTTAAAATTCACTTGTTTGAGAAAAAAAAGGTACGATTTATAACACAAAATAAAATCAAAATTGAGAATAAAATGCTCTCTGCAAAACGTAAATGGGAACACTGAAAAACAATACAGGTTTCATTTGTGACTAGTGACACAATTTGACATTGGCATTCAGATTGTACATTTTTTTATCACATTGATTGGTACAAGTATGAATAGGTCAAACATGGCACCTGTCCAGGTACCTAGCATTTAGAAAGCATACTCAAGGTAACACTCGTTAAAGTACACAATGTACAAATGCAGGAAGATCGATAAACAGTGTGGTTGCCACACACCTTTTTCTGTGAACTATACCATGGCAGACAAACTTTGTGGTACAAGTCACTGACCCAAAGACGTCTTCAGGACTCTGATCTACATGCAAATATTGAAAACTTCTCCCTTAATAACTGACATTTTTTTTTTATAAATTAATTTAAGGAACCTGACATGACGTGGTGGAAAAACTTTCAATGCTGTAGACTGGTATCTTTATCTGTTGCTAGGTCATACATACCACTTACTAACTATCAGCTACAAAAAACTTTGGTAGTGTAACTGTGCGTCTAGTAAACTGCTTATTCATGTTTTTGCACTTAAAATAAATAATAAATAAAACATTTCAGACACGAGGCTTTAATATACGTATACAATTAGAGCCACACCTGGACATATTCTGTTCACTAAAAACTTTCAAGTTTCGGGGTTTTGGTACCCCTTTTCAAAGCCGAAATTTAAAAGTCATTAACATATAGAAATAATGTTGTGAATATCGAAGAGCACCGAAGCAGCTAATGGAGAATCAAGGAGATTAAATTTCAAACCATTGACTTAACAATATTTCGTTCATGTCAACCAACCCCGACCTCGGGTCACTATTGGTGCACACACACTATGCGCAGCGCCAGCACAGCTAATCCCGATAGCCATTTCATTAGTTGTAGAAGAAATCTGCAAAAATAAAACAACACACTGCGCGTAGTGAAGAAAAGCAATGACTAACCTTGGCCCTTGGCAAAACAGATGTCGAAGCGCGTAGCACAGAAAGCATTTTGTAATGTTTTACCGACCGATAAATACGCAGTCTGCAGAAATTGCTTCACGCCGTCTGAATATAAAATCGACACACAGACAATAAATATGAACGCATGCGTAAAGAGAGTTACCTGAAAAAAATAAATCTTAAATTTACAAATTCGCCGATTCGTACTATCTAACCTAATAGGCTATAGAAACCAGTAATATATACGTTCTGCTTGCGTCTAATATATAAATCATTTACAAAGTTAAATATAAATGATGAAGTTGCGAATATGTTATTAAAATATTCCCTTTGCTTTGATCGAATATTTCTTACATGAATGGATACTACACTTAGTGTCTTTACCCGGACTCCATCGGATTGCCAGTGAGTCGGAGATCATCAGGTAAAAGTCCAGTTTGTTTAACAATTTAAACACCAATAATCATGAAAATCGTGATCACTGCGTGCTTAACACATTTTGGGTGGCCCCTAAATCAGCCTGGGCGTGTTATCTATAATAAGCTGTATTTTTTGCATCATGGCATCCCGTTTTTACACGAATTTGCTTCGACAAATTATTCCGCCTAGATTTCCATATTTGGCTTTCGGTTTGCGTGTTTCCAGACATTTCATCTCATCGAGTCGTCGTAAGTTATGTTTTTCAAATTCCTCGACCCTTTTCATGTGTTAGTCGTAATTTGTTTCGTTGTTTTGCTTCTATATGAACCGACGTGTTAATCATGAATGAAAAAAGGGGGTGTGTCCGAATTTTAGTGTTTATTATTATGATGATGTAGATGTCGCTGTGTCTGTATCGCCGTGGTCAACTTTATGAATGGCACGTCATTGCCACTAATCGTGTGTTCATTTTCATCATTATTGCAATGTTTTGTTCATGAACGGTTCAATTCAGTTAAAAAAAACAATTTATGTCAGTCAATAATAATTATCCGTGACGTATTTAAATGCTACTAGAATATAAAACGAAGATCTGCCGTCTTGATTGTTTGTTTGTTTGAAAGCATGTCTGGGTCATTTGGGTCATTTAAGGTCATATTAATCTCATACTGACATCAAAAAAGAATAGATTAAATTATAATAAAACATTTTGAGAAATAGATTCAGCGGCCACCGTTAAAACAGAGTCGCTCTTTGGATTTGGGTGTACTCGAAAACTACTTGATTAGTTTGTCATTTTGATAGAGACAATGGTGTGAACACCATCCTGAAGGGAAATTAAAGATATGCGAGTAATGATGTTATGAGAAGGAAAAACACTTCTTCGAGACCATTGCAACATGTTCTCAGAAAAGTCTGGTTCAAAATCAAAATCAAATATTTACCCTAAAGTTTATGCTGTGCTCAGAATCTTCATGGAAATGCATGAAATCCCTAATTTTATGATGTAAACAAAATTCGAATAACAATTCTGTATTTATGTATTTACAACAATCTTATAAAGTTCAGCATCTCGCTGATTGGCCAATAATCTTGGAGATGGCGAAAAACAGTCAACCCGTGCAAGTCTGACCTTGCAAATAGACATAGATCATTTGCACACATTCAGAAAACACATTTTACACATTTTTTTTTTGTTTTTGTTTTTGTTTTTTTTATTTTCAATACATTTATTTTAATTTCAATACATACCGGTAAGCACATGTCTATATTGTACAAATAATTTCCATTGTTATGTCACTAATTCTACAACTTAACAGGAATTTTTTGCGAACATAGTCTACTGTAGCTGGGGGTCCATAGCTTTTTTTGTGTCAGTCTTTAGTCTTTGTGATAGTATTTTAGTCATTTCTGATAGATTTGGTGTCATCAAATTTGCTATTTTTAAACATTAGGATTTTTATCAACGCAGAAGAGCTATGGTTCTCATAGACTTGTATAACAAAAACAGGCAACGCCAAATGGCATTGCAAATTTGGTACATAAAAGCTTGTGAACAGACATTATAGGTATATGATTGAAATCTGTACATACTGATCAGTATTTAGTTGCAATCTTTGCATATTAATTTTCTAATTTGAATTAATTTGCCTATATTTTGCTGTTCCACAAATAATAAGGACCAACTCGCCTAATTTCAATGAAACTTGGTACACAGATGTGCTGGGAAAATGCACAGATCTGATAAGTTCTTGATTGAAACCATGCATATTAATGACCTAATTTGCATATTATCAAATTTTAGTCTATATTGTTTCTTAAATCTAGAAACACTGATTTCAATGAAACTTGGTACCAGGATATTTTTTGGTTGTAATGTGTATATATTAATTTCCCAATTTCTGTATTTACCAATTCTAAGCTTTTTCACTTGTTTCTCCAAGAACCACCACAATTTGGTACATTATTACTCTGAGGTAATTCACCAATGTGGGTCATATAGAGTCTTAAATTTGTAACTAATTTTAAATATTCCATATGTACACTTCATATGCTTTTTATAAATACACAGCACACAGAAGTTCTTTTCTTAGCTTTCGTTGATGCAAAAATGCAGGCTAATAAACTGTTGGCCATAGCTCAAAACTCTTCTCACTAAGTGTGCTAAATTTGCATGTCTGTGTGCATCCATCATTTGATTCAAACTGTCCCCATTTTTGCATGAGGTAAAATCTGAGTTAACAGTTTGCATATTCTGTACAATTGTTTTTCAGGTTTTGATTATATTTAACTGTCTGGTGGGGTGAATTTTGCCCCCCCCCCCCCAAAAAAAAACAAAACAACAAAACAAAACAAAACAAACTCAAATCAAAATTTGTTTAAATATCATTGAATTGTTAGAAGGATAAAACCTGACAAATTAAATTAGCCATCCAAACTTGTCATTTAGCATTGTAATTCTGTGTTATTGTATGTCTGACATGAATTGAAGATTATATGTCGTATTCATCATATATTCAATATTATCCATTCATTCCATCAGGATATCAAAAATTAAAAAAAAGTGGTGTCACAAGACAATTTTTCAAGATACAAAAGTCCAAAAGGTCATAAAAAATGGTCCAAATTGATATTTTTACAATGGTTTCTGTAGTGACATTACTTCCTCATATCTCAACATTTTGCTTGATGACATGGGATAAAAAGTCATACTGTAAAATACTTTATTTTAGCTGGAATTAATTTTTGCTGAAAAGACATTTTGAATGCTTTGTATGGAATTTATTTTCACTGATTTTTGACAACTTAAATGTAAAATATAGGAAAAAAGGCATATTTGCTGGACTTTATTTTCACTGAATCTTTCATTTAGCGAAAATAGGGAAAATTAATTCCAATCGAAAATAAAGTATGCTACAGTATATTATTATTGACATTAAAAATCGGCATATGATTTAGTGAATTTCTAAGGTAATAATATTAGGTTTTTTCCCATAATGCATTACTTATATAACATGCTTAGAAGTGTGAAATTTGAATTCAGCTCAAACTGGCTTACAGTAATATTGAGTGAAGCATCAGAGGTTGGTCTCATAACAAAGATGGTTTGATTCACATAATGGACAGCAATGAAATGTCGGTGAAATTGGAGGTCCCATTAAACCCTATAACTGTGTTCACATGCCAATCGACATTCTATGTTTACAATCAGCTTTTAATGTTTAATATATTTACCATATTGAATAAAATGAATACAACTAAATCTTGCATCTCCTAAGATCTGTGGGTTTGTGTATTTCACCTTCTTATCATTCTCTTGCAGCATGTTTAATTAAACACCAAATCAGAATGGTGCTACACAAATTCTACCAGGCCATTCAAAATCATAAAAAAAAGTCTTTTTAAATTACTTTATAGCTCAACAGTGTGGTGAACTAATGGCGACTTCAAAGGATCTCTTACGCCCAAAGTCATGTGATACCTTTGTTGCATTGCCGCCGGCAACTGCTGATGGTAATGTTATATTTGGTAAGAACTCTGACAGACCATGTGAGGAAGTCCAGCAAGTAATCCATATACCGGCTACTAGTCACAAAGCAGGATCCAAGTTACAGGTAAAGACAATACTGTAATACCATTAGAAACTCCAAGGAGAGATAATGTGGATTTTTTAAAAAAAATAAGGAAAAATTACAAAAAAATATATTTTAAAAAAAATCCCACACACATTTGATAGAAAAAAGCCAAAATAAATTACAGCAACATTACTGAAAAAAAGTTGTTCTACCCACCCCCTCCAAAGTTCTAATGGTCAATCCTAGAGTGGGAAGGAGGCTACAATCCAGGAATTTTTTTTCTTTATTTTTTTTTCAGACTACAGTATATCTACTAAAAATTATTTTTATTCTGAATTTATACAACTGAAGATATAAATCAATGTTAAATGAACTGTCAAAACTAGGCTAAGTCAAAGAGGCGATAGACAGAGAATAAGGTTGGGCAGTCAGGGACTGCTGACGATAATTTATTTCATAAACCGGCGCTTGGTTGGCGCATGCACAGAAGCCACCATATGAAAAACCCCATATGGAAGGATACATCCCTGTGAGGTAATAAAGTACCTCAAAAAACTATAAACTACAAAGCTCAAAATCTGTAACTACAAACTAAATCTATAACAAACTACAAGCATAAAATAAACAAAAGGGAGGGGTGGGTTGGGGAAACAACGCCTGCCGTGCGTGTCGAGCCAGCTAGCCAATACCCTCTATCTGTAATGCTGCAATATATAGTGCCAAGGTGTTAGCCACGCTAGCTAAGATAATCACATGTTGAGCTTAAAAACAATCAAGCATTGGCGCCGGTAATCTTTTCCTGCTTTGGCATTGGCTTGAAATTGTCTATACCAATAAACAAGCTGGTTGCTATACAGCTGGTAGTGAGGGGAAAGATTACATTGCTTAATCTGCCACTAAAGGTTACGTAACAAAAGATGACACATTTAAAACTGTATTGAACATAAATACATAACAAAATCCAGTGAAATTTTTCTTTTTTATTGCATGCCACTCAAGTGAGATTTTTATCATGTCAATATATATTTTTAGCTTCGCTGTCGACTTTGTCGAGCGGAGCTTATCGTATGAGTGATTGTCCATCGTCGTCCGTGTCAATGTTTTACTTTTTCGACTTCTTCTTGAAAACTACAAGCCTGAATGCTTTGATACTTGGTGTATATGTACCTTGGGTAGACCTCTCTTAGGTTTGTTCATTTTATGTTGATATCTTCAATTCTCTAATTTTGGTGAATATTTTTGTAATTTTTGGTAAAAAGTGATATTTTCGACTTCTTGTTAAAAACCGCAAGTCCAATTGCTTTGGTATTACATATATAGGTACTACATGTGGACCTCTCTCAGATTTGTTCATTTCGTGATGATATCTTCAATTCTTTAATTTTGGTGAATATTTTTGTAATTTTTGGTAAAAAGTGATATTTTCGACGACTTGTTAAAAACTGCAAGTCCGATTGCTTTGATATTACATATATAGGTACTACATGTGGACCTCTCTCAGATTTGTTCATTTTGTGATGATATCTTCAATTCTCCAATTTTGGTGAATATTTTTGTAATTTTTGGTAAAAAGTGATATTTTCGACTTGTTAAAAACCAAAAGTTCAATTGCTTTGATATTACATATATAGATACTACCTTTCTCAGATTTGTTCATTTCGTGATGATATCTTCAATTCTCTAATTTTGGTGAATATTTTTGTCATTTTTGTTAGAAAGTAATATTTTCGACTTCTTGTTAAAAACTGTAAGTCTGATTGCTTTGATCTATACATATTGTTCATTTTCTAATGATGTCTTCAGTTCTTTAATTGAAATGTGCATTGCTAACAGCGGAGCTATCTCAGCCGATAGGCTGCTTGTTTAGCTTTTGCACTAGGATTTCAAGAACATCTAAACATATTTCAGCTACATAATACAGCTAGAAATACAATCAGCACATCTGATTAGTTTGGGCGACGAACTTGTGCATAATGATTACCAAATTTGCATAATAATTAGTACATTTAAACTGCTGCATGGATACCACGCAAAGTTAAACTACCAGTATTTGATTTAGAAATTGAACTGTAAAACAGAAAACTGTATTTATTTTTTCAGTGTACTTATATTGAAATAGAGCAAGTTCCACATACTCACAGTGTTATACTGAGCAGTCCATCCTGGTTATGGGGAGCTGAAATGGGAGCCAATGAATATGGTGTCTGTATTGGTAATGAGGCAGTTTGGACCAAGCTTAATGGACCTAATGATAGAAAAGAACAACTGCTAGGGATGGACTTCGTCAGGTGAGACATTTTTGTTTTTGCTATTTATTAGTCCCCCTTCAGACACAGTCCGAAAACGGGGACTTGTGTTTTGACCTCCGTGCTTCCATGTGTGCGTCTGGACCTGTATCTTAGAAATGCCTGGACCAATCACAATCAAACTTCACACATACATCATGCATGATGATATACATATGCACATAAATTTGTTTCACGATCTGATTCAAGATGGCCGAATGGTGGCCATTTTTGTTCTAAAAATCATCAAAATCAAGCATTTCTCGCCTGTTTACAGATGGATTTTGTTCAAACTTGGTATATATGTTGGACATTTGTTTTTCAGATAAGTTTAAAAATAACTGACTGGTGGCCATTTTGTTTTAATGAATGTGGTTCGAGTGACATATCTCTGACTTGCTGTGACTGACTATGTTCAAATTTTAAATATTCATTATACATCATGTCATAGATATACAGATATATTGGTTTGACGATCCTATTAAAAATGGCCAAATAGTGGACATTTTTGTGCTAAAAAATCATCAAATATCAAGCATTTATGGATGGATTTTGTTCAAACTTGGTACATACATTCAACATTACGGATTCCTAATGCACGTTATTTTATTTTGTTTTAATTAATGCTGTTCCAGAGCAATATCTCTCAATACTCGTTTGATGATCAGATACAAATGTCAATCATTTAAATGTTAAACAATCATCATAATCATATTCCTGACATGTTTATATTCCAGCTATATTACTATAAACAAAACTATATATCTTAAATTCGATAACTAACAGGGTCTGTGCCATGCATGGTTTGTTTCTTTTATGTTTTTTTTTGAAGAATTTTATAAAAAAAGTAAAGAAAAAATAAAAGTATTCTAATTTAGGTGCCAGATGAGAGTGAAAACACTCTGTTTTTATTGAAAGGGAATGTTTTAACCGATTGCTTTGATACTTGGTATATATGTACCTCACGTGGAACTTTTTCAGAGTTGTTAATTTCATGAAGATATCTTCAGATCTAATTTTTGTGCTATATTTGACTTCTTCTTGAAAACAGCTACCCCAATTGCTTGATATTTTATATGTAGACACCTGAGTGGACATTAGTCAGATTTGTTCATTTTGTGACATTATCTCTAATTTTAAAATTGTAATGAATGCCATTTTTGGTAACATGCTACTTTTGACTTCTTTTTGTAAAAAAAAAAGCTATTTACAACTGTCTAACTATACAGCAGAACTATATCAGCTGACAGGTTGACTGTTTTAAAAAACATGAAATAGGTAATTTTTGAAAGATCAACTGACGATTGAAAAAGTCAAATAAAACATTGGATTCTGAATAGGCAACTATAAAAAACCTAAATTGTACTCTTATTTAGGTATCAGGAATGATTACAATTTTACTAAAGTGACACCTAAATTAGAAATCAATTTTTGAGAACATTCCTGGTGAAAATTAAGGAGCATAAAAAGATACATGCGTAAAGTATATGCTCTCCCATTTATCATGGTTTTTTTTTTTTTTGCTTTGCTATACAGACTGGGTTTGGAAAGAGGACAAACTGCCAAGGAAGCCATGGATGTGATTACATCACTATTGGAGAAATATGGACA